CATATTTTATTACCGTATATTATCCGGCTTTGCCTGAGATCATTTTACGCTGAAACACGTCTTTATTAAGTCCTTATAAAAAGCTTCGAGCGAACGCAACTTATTACTGCGCCCATAAGACCTTCGACCAAGCGCTGTGGATTTCGCGAAACGTGTGAGAAACGTCTTAAATGCATTTCCATCAAGATTCTCGCAAACGACTTTAAGCCGAAAACTTCAGCCGACCAATTTTTGACCCCCCATTTCCACAAAATGGGAATGGACTTTTCGAAATAAAGTTTTAGGCCGATTAAATGGCAAGCAAAAAAGTTCCATAGAATTATATTCCGTAATTTTCCATGATTGCGGGTGGAATTGCCAAAAATCTCGTATTAGCGTGCACTTTCATCATTTGACATTCATTTGAGTTTCACACTTTTAGAAACATCGATCCCTCGCTAGGTGGAGGTTTAAATTCATATTCAAGGATCCTTATGAAAATTCATTTGAAACGTGTCTCACACGTTCCGCAAAATCCACGCTTTCTGGTCGAATGTTTAATGGGCAGCAATAAGTTGCTTCCGTTCCTCCGTGGAAAATGCGGTTCACAAATTTATTGGGTGAAATTTTAACTGTCGTCCGAACGGCTTCAAACTCATATTTCAATATATTGCAATTTTATTTTTATACGTTTTTCGCGATATCCACCGCTTTTGGATGGAAAATGCGAGTCAAAGGCTCTATGAGCGAAAGATTATTTTTCGGTTTCAAGATGTACATATGCTGCATCTTGAATCAATTACCTATTATCGCTGCTTCACTTTTCTTTCAGGGATGTCTTTATATAAAAGTTTATCTCCCGCCCACTGATAGATGACGATAAAATAATCGTGCGTGTGCATTTACAGGTAAGTATATTTTTACAAAGTTAAATTTTAACTTAAGGCGTGGAGTTCCAGACAGTACGGTTAGATTTAAATTGTGTACGGTCGGAAAACGGCTGAAAAGAGTTGAATCAAAAATGTACTGCACAAAACATGGAATGGGCAAGGACGGTAAATACCCCTTAGTGACAAATATACATATCTTTGGATTGTGAGTGACAGCTTGTTATTGGCAGAAAGCCAGCCATGACATCTTTGTAGCTCAGGACCTTTGCGACCTGTCACAAACTGTATTATCCGGCCTTGAGCCTGTTAACCGAATCAGTTTGTGGGAACAACCTGTTGCTCCAAATCGAAACAAACCCAACTTAATTGCTGTGTCGTGTTGCCTGACGGCATTTTGGCCGGGAGCCAGCATCAGTCACCAGTTGCCGGTAACGAGTACTCGCACTCGCACTCGAACTCGAGCGGGCACTCGAACTCGTACGTAGTAACGAGTTATTCACAGCTGCACGACACATTATTCAGCGGTTTGTCTCAGTGTGTGTGTGATTGTTTACCCTGGAGTGCTCTTCAAATACACAAACACACACACACGTTTAATCTGTGGCACACTTTGAGTAGCCAGTTGCTGCAGGCAGGTCGTCTATGAAGTGCAAAATAAATACAATAAAAATTGTTAACGAGCAAAAACAAAAGCAATAAAAAAAACGCAGAGAAAAGAAAAGAAAACCCCACAAACCGAACAATAAAACATTAGCAACAGAGCCATGCAATACCCGTTGCCCCATTTTGAGGCAAATGACGCATGCAGTAAATAAGCGTAAGCCAGTGAAAGTTGCCCAGTTGGCAGCATCCGACGCGAAGATACCCTGTATTCACACTTTCTTTTGTATGTGGGAAAATGTTCCCCTCTGAATCTGTGTGAGATATCCTACACGTTGTCTCTAGCTCTTAAAAGCTACGAGATAGGCTAAAGAAGGAATATCATTAACGATATTTATCGATATCCTGCAAACAAGGCGAGCTATCGATCATTCTAAATAAACTCAGAGTAGCTTAGTTTCAATTGCCTGATTCTTTGCCTCTTGTAAACTCTGAGATCGGCGCTGTTAAATAATATACATATACATATATATCAAAAAGGCTCTCTTCTGCCCGCATGATTTGGTATTAAAAGGAATATCTCAATCGATATTTATCGATTTCAATTGCCTGGTTCTCTGGCTCTTGTAAGCTCTGAGATCGGCGCGTTAACACGTTCGGACAAACGGAAATGTCTGGATCGATGCTGTTAAAGAATATAAGTATATACATTTTATGGGCTCAAAAAGGTTTTTTCTGACTGAATTGGTTTCTTTTGTTTTCACAAAAACTGAAGGCGGGCATGCCCCCTTTATGTGAACCTTGAAAAACTTTCCACATGTAAAATCAAAGAATTGATTACTTTTAACGTTTATATGCCACAATTGTGCAGTTAACAATCATTTAACATATCGAGTATTCACTGTGGCTGTATTGAGCTTTGCTCACTTTCTGTTTGAGCTGCGATGATATGGTTAAATAGGGTATAATGTATTTGTGCAAATGTATGTAACTGTCCGTAGGAAGCATTTCCGACTCCATAAAGTATATATATTCTTGGTGAGTAGCCATGTCCGTCTGTCCGTCTCTCCGTCTCCCTGTCCGTCCGTCTATATATGAGAGCGTCGATCTTGGAACCTAAAAGAGCTAGCGCCTTGAAAGGTAGGTCCTCCCAGTGCCCAAGCAGTTCGAGTTTCTTTGCGATAATCGATAACTTGTGCCGTTTCCGAGCAATCGATAAAAATCGATTTAGAAATTCTGTTTTTCGAGCATATCTTTCAGGCTTTAAGAGCTAGCTATAGCTTCTAGAATTGTATATGCAGATCAAGTAGACTTTCCAAAGTCTGCTGAAAAGTTAGCAAAGCTGGCAAGAGCTAGCAGCTACAGTGAATACCCAAGAGGCGTAACAAAATGACTTAGGTTTCAGACTTTTCGAAAAAATTTGTGTTTTTCTTTGTTTTTGCCTCGCTTATTTGTAGCACAAATCATTGCAAATTCTTCTTATCAAATGGCTAATATCTAGCTGATTTCTTTTATGCTGAATTAAACTAAACTTTAATGTTTATTAGCTCTTAAGTATTTGTACTTTGCGGTTCTACGTAAAACTAACAATCCAATCAATATTAAAAACAATTTCAATTTAAGTTTATGCCATGAAGCACTAAACCGCCAACTGGAATACCCGAGATGACAAAAATTGATTACAATCAAAGTGTTGTTCAACCCTTGGCAAAGTGGTTGTGTGTGTGTGTGGCAAAAATGGGTAGCAGAACCAGCTGTGAATCTGATTACACCTAAAGTGCTGGGGCAAAAAAAAAAAGAAACAGAAAAAAAAGTGAAGAGAAAGAAATTCGATCACGTAAATTGAGTTTACACTTTGAGGAGCATCTGAAGCGGGCAAACAAAACATTTGCGGCAGCACGTAACTCGGAAAAACGTATTTACAGTGCACGCGGTATTTGTTTAACGCCTGTGAATGTGTGTGGGGGGCGAGTACTTTCACAGTTTGGAGAAGAAGAAAATACGTAAATGAATTGCGGTTAGGTCAAGTGTTGCCTGATGCCTCAACTTGGCAGCAGTTCGCACTATTGTGTGGCTGTGAACGCATTCAAATTCGTTGTCATGGCATTAAATGTTTGCTGGTTGTAGCAGGAAAACAATTCCTAGTAAAATGCAAGCGATTTTGTTTCTTGGAATGGCACAAACTAGCTGACAACGTGTTAGAATTCGGTATCAATGCATTGAAGCTCGGGAAAATTATTTCCCACTTAAACGTGCTCGGCTTCTGTTCTTGGAATAGCAGAAACTAGCTAAGAACATCTTAGAATGCGATTACGTTTCTTGGAACGTCACGAGGGAATTAATAACATTTTTACGCATGTGTTTCACTTTCTAGAAGGGCACCAACCAATTAATAATAACTTCAAACCTTCTATCAATATATGTACATACTTAATGTCTGCTTGAGAGATCTTAAAATTGATTTCTAATTATAGAAATGTGATTTCGCTTCCTGGAATGGCACTAATTAGTTAAGAACGTCTTTCGTTTCCTAGAAGGGCACAAACGAATTGAGCACATAAATAAGCCTGGTATTAATCTATTAAATTTATGCTTCTGTGACTTCTAGTCAATCGAACGTGATTCCGTTTCTTAGAATGTTACAAATTAGTTAAGAACGTCTCTAAATATGGCTGTCATTTCGTAGAATCGCACAAACGAACACGAACGACGTCATCAATATATTAAATGTCCGCCTGAGAGACCATGAAAATAACTGCTAGTTGAACGAAAGCGAAATCGTTTCTGGGAATGCCACAAACTAGATAAGAACCTCCTTAAATGTGGTTGCAGTTTGCTGGAATCGCTTTAGCGAATTAAGTACATAATTAAACCCTGTATAAATAAATTGTTATATCTGCTTGTGAGAACATGAAATGAATTTCTAGTTAAACGAATAGACCGAAGGGACTTCTTGGAATGACGTTTATTTAAGACCTTTCTCAACGTGGTTTTCGTGGAATTGCACAAACGAATGTAAACGTCTGTAAATGTGATATAAATATATGTACATATGTACATATTAAATGTCTGCTTGAGGGAACATGAATTGAATTCCTAGCTCTAAAAAACCTCTCTTAACATAGTTTTCGCTTTCTGGAATGACACAAACGAATGAAGAACCAAATGTGGTATCAATACAGAATCAATATTAATACAATGTCTGCTCAAGAGATCTTGAAATAAATACCTTGCTATACTCAGGCGATTTTGCTTATTGGAATCACCCAATTGAGTTTAGAACGGTTTTCGGTTATGGTTTTCGTTTCCTAGAATGCCACAAACGATTGAAGAACATCTTAAAATGTGGTATCAATACATTTAATGTCTGCTTGAGAGATCATGAAATGAATTTCTAGTTATACAGCACCAATAAAAACAGTTATCATTTGTCTCTGCGTGTGTGTGTGTGTGTGTTAACGAGCAAACAAAACGCATTTTCCAAGACTGTCAAAGAGTGCTAGAGAGAGAGAATAAGATAGGAGGGTGAGTATGCGTGTGCGTGTGCGTGTCCTGTGTGCCAGTGTTGTAAAGTGCGCAGTGTAACGCAGCTGAGCAAAGTGCAAATAAGCGAGCGTTAAACTGGGGAAAATGCGTTTTTGTTGCAAATTGTAAGCGTTGTCTGTCTGTTGTTGTTGTGTTCTCTGTTGTTGTTGTTGTTGCTGTTGTTGTTGTTGTTGCTGTTGTTGTTGTGGCTGCTGCCCTCAAATATGCTGACCCAGTGAGGCGACCAGCTTGATAAGTTGATTACGCTTAGCCTTGATGACATCCTGATGCAGTGGCTGGACACCATCAACGCTATCATAACGATTCACATAGTCGGTCAACTGATCGGCCATGCAGATGACATGAATGCCGCAATCATAGTCGTTGCTCTGCTGGAGACAGCGCATGCCCCGAAAGCGTGCATGCTGCATATCGAGTACATCCTTTATATTATTGACCAGCTCCAGTGAGCAGTTCGTATTGCCGCCGCCATACGAATCAAAATGAAAGAAACTCTTATCCGGCCGCGAGGCAACAACCAGCGACCAATGTGCCCCGCCCCGATCGCGCGAATGGCTATCATTCAATGCCATAAATATGAACGGTTTACGCAGCGCTTGATGCTGTGCCACAAGCAAACCGTGCAGCTCCTTATCATCCATATAGAGCATGCACTGCGACATCTCTGGCGTGACAAATAAAAAGTCAACATTCGATTTGTATTTAACCTCCTCCAGATATGCAAAATAGAAATTCAGTATCGCATCATTGAGCCAATGGGGTCCATGCAATAGCTGTACATCGCTCATCCTTAGCGCATTTTTACTGAGCGATGCCAGAATGGGATCGGCACGGGATGCTTTTGGTTTTTTGTTGTGCACAACATTTGTGCTGCTGCTGCTGTTGCTCGAGCTGGCCGTATTGTTGTTGTTGCTGTTGTTGTTGTTGCTGTTGTTGTTGCTGCTGCTGTTGTTGTTGTTGTTGTTGCTGCTGTTGTTGCTGTTCATGTTGCTTGTGTTCAGGCTGTTTGTCATGTTGTTGTTGTTGTTGCTGCTGCTGTTGTTGTTGTTGTTGTTGCAGCTGTTGTGGTTGTTGCTGCTGTTGCTGTGACTGTTACTGTTGCTGTTAATGTCACCGCCATGGCCATCGCCCATGGCATGCTCGTCCAGCTCGCTGACCAGCTTACTATTCTCATTGGCCGCCTCATCGGCGGCAGCGGCAGCCGTGGCAGCGGCCGCCTGCACTCGGCGCTCAGCGCGTTTCTTCTGGCGCACATTGCGCGGCATCTTTTCAATCCGAGTTGCGGTGGGCTGCAAATCAATTAAAAATATGACTATATATATATGTATGTATGTGTATGGCAAAGGTGTCGATTTTGTGGGTGGCGCGTATGTAGAGTTAGTTTTCGGTTCGTTTACTTACGCAAAATACAGTTAGAGAGGGAGGGGGGATTCAAATGAAAAAAGCAAACAAATAAATTGAATTTTGTTGGGGTTCTGACAACTTCTTCAACAACTAGTTCGTAATTTGTGATTTCACAAGTGTGTGTGCCTCGAAACTAGCATGTAGGCGGCATATCGGACAGCGTTGCCAGATCGTTGCGCTTAAGCTTCTGGCTTTCGCTTTTCGATTAATCGAATTGTTATTAAATATACATATACATATATCGATTAATTGACCTTCTTTATATATCGCCCAAAAATGTACAGTTACATGCATATCTCTCTTCTTCTTCTTTTTTTAGGGTATTCTATTATTCATTTGCGCGCATCTTGCAGCTTTAGCGAGTCTGCCCGCCCGCCCTGTTTGCTCTCTGTGCACCCTGTGCTGTCGGCAATTGCACAGGCTGGCATAACAAATCCTGTTAATTAATTAAAATGTAATTGCATTTGCTTGCTTTTTTACACTCGATATACCCCTTTTATTGTTGAACAGGCGGCAGCTTCACATATCAGAAACTTTTGACATTATATATAGCCAACATCAGAGTCAATCTGGACGTACAGATTAAGTTTAACAAAACTTGGTAGATGCTTGAATCCAATAAGATAACATATTTACCAACACTGGCAAAGGCAATATGTGGGCATATTTCATATAAGAGCTGAACGATTGTTTGGTGCATTGTTTTCGTCTTTTTAACTTCCAAAGCGTTAAGTTGGTGATTCTTAAGCATTTTTTGGTTAAGCACGCCTAGAGTCAAAAGGGAAAGAAAAAGAAAAAGGGTTGTGGCTTTGTTTATATCGTGGAATCCGATTCGAAGCGATTTGAAATTCCTGCTTTGAGGTTAGGTTCGTAAAATCGATTTCCGACATTCATGAGCTCATTTTTTTTTATTCAAATCTTCTTTTTATAATATTTCTTCCACTATAAATGAAGCAAGATTTTCCCATACCAGATGCGCATTAAATTTGAACTCATCCCTAAATTTAAAGGCTGGGTTTCGGGTTTGAACCAGTGGCCCTCAAAGTCGGTTCAACGACTTGTTACCGCTTACCTATCTCCCAGGCGATGGAAAAGTGGTGCATATAAGTAAATATATTCGCATGTTGTACGTCTGGAAACTCGGATAACTGCTTACAGGGTATTCGCTGGTTGGTTATCCAACATTTTTCTGTGCTCATTTCGTTTGCATTTTAACTCATTTATTTCAGTTTTCATTTTTGCTGCGATGCGGCGCGGTCAGGATTTATTTAAAAGGATTTGTCGTCGTCGTCGTTGTCGCCGTAATTTCATTTACTTGCCAGATGCGACGTGCGCATATGCCACGCCCCCACCATGCCGGCAGCACGCCCTGCGCCTATGCTCAATGTGCTCGGCCTGGCAATACATACATATCTGTGAAAAATAACATTAACGCCGCGCAGGATACGCACGTCACTCAGACAAAAACAAAAAATAAACAAGTATAAACGGAAATTGTTTGCCACGCCGAAGCTTAAATACCCTTTACCATATGCACAGAGAATGGGCAAACTCATAATTGCGAAGTTTCTTCATTATGTCTGGCAAATATTGAAATGTTTTCCATGTACAACTTTATTTTGCGACCGATTTCGCCTATAGAGCTATATGATAATATCCTGATATTGATAGGATCTAGCTTATGGCTAGGCATTTGGGTAAAAATCGATTATGCCAACTTTGTTCAAGGTGTTTTAAAATACAAACAAGTATTTCATCCAAGAACCGATCGTTCCTATGTCAACCACACGACATAGTTAGCCGAGCCGGACGATTCTGCTCAGAGCCGACGGACAAAGCTTTTATGGCGAAAGCTCTCTTGCATAGACAGACTTATCAGGAATATATATATATATATATATAAATCTATTACATTGTGGGCTGCTTCTATGCGTTGCATGTTTAATGAGAAAATTAGAATACCCTCGAGCAGGGTATAAAAGGGAAAGCATAATACTTATGAAGAGACCAGCGTGTGCGTGACTCATTTGCATGCACATATAAATATATATATATATATATATATGTATGTATGTATATACATCATATCATATACACTATATATATCTCTGCATGTGTACGATATGGACTCATCCGTGTGACCGAAAATCTTCTTATCCATTTGGATAATGTCATGTGGAGGCTGTTTATGGCCTGAGGCCGAGCTGGTCGCCAGCTCATTTCAATTAACAGCTTCTGTATGCCGTAGAGTGATAGACGGGGGAAGGGAGAGGGAGAGGGGGGGGGAGGTGTGTGGCTCAGTCCGGGTTGGGACCGCGGCCGGAACTGGGGGACATGCCGCATAGTCGACGCCATTTGGGGTTTTTTTTTCTGTCAGCTGTTTAAACTTTAATAAATCGATTTGTGGTACCAAAATTGAATTTGCTTCCATTGTGCTGCTTGGCTATCACGTGCCAATATCCTGTATTAAAAGATCAGTATAAATGGGGTAGCTTGACATTGTGTTGAAGCATGAGACACTTGGAAGAAAGGCTGCCTGCCTGACATATATACAATTCGAGGTAATCCAAACTTCTGCCTAAAAGAAACCGAAACTTGGATCGAAATTCGAACCGAAATTGTTGGCCAAAGAAGAGCTAAAGGGGTTAAACTTAGACTCGAACCTGAAAACCAGCTCACGAATTGAACTAATGATAAGTTTTTTTAATTCGTTTTTCATTTGCAGCCTTTTCGACATTTTAAACTGGAAAAGCAAACTTCTTATATTATTATGTTATACAATATAAAGTATTTTGGTAATTGTTGTATTTTTTTAAATACACAAACTACATTTTTCGGAACTATCGTAAAACAAACACGAAATGTACTCAAAAGAGAACAGTACCTGCAGCATTAAAGATAACTGTTTTTTAAGCCTTGCCAAAGGGTATTTCATGGACATTACTCCATACTACACTCAGTCTGTCGTTATACAACACTGCCAAGCAGCAGCAGCTGGCGCAGCAGTGGAAGCATCTCTCATTCAAGTTTAATATGCATGCAGAAAAGGTGGCAACTGGCCAGAAGAGCGTCAAAGAGAATGCCCCAAGAGTATGTTGATGAGGATGAGGGACGAGGGACGGGGGACGGGGTGGGGAGAGGTGAGAAGAGGTTCATGGGGCATGCAGCAGTGGGCGGATTAGAGATTCGACTAAGGTTGGCCGCACTAAAATCGCGCTGACCACCAAATACCCGAAAAGCAAATGCTACTTAAAATGCAATTATAACATTAAGCGCAAAGCGTAATTGCCTGGCAACTACAATAAAAGAGAGAGAGAGAGAGGGCAGGGAGTGTGCGGAGAGAGGAGGGAGGGTGCTGGGGCTGGCTGGGGATTATGCACAGGGTAACTAAGCACAAAAGGGGCCGTGTGTGGGGCTGGAGAGGTAAAAAGCAATTATAAAAACAAATAATTACAATAGAATTATTTAGATTTTACTCGAATTAATGTCAAAGTTTTCCCAACTCAACTCTGTTTTTATGTTCTTATGATGGGGTACCATAATAATGTCAGGGAATGTGTAAAGCATAGATGGAGACATTTGCGAAACCATAGAGTATATATTATATATTCCGGATCAGCTTCAACAATCGAGCTGATATACTTATACCATCAATAATCCTATATAGACATAGGTCGAAATTTCCCACCGCCATAACTCGGTCAAATCTCATTAGATTTGCACGAGGTTAGGCTCTTTGTTCATGGTTTGGTCTCTAGTTTAATTTGGCATCTAAGGCTGGCAATATTATTCTTGGTCAAAATTCATGTGCAAATGGTACCATCAATAATCCTATATAGACATAGGTCGAAATGGGCAAGGCCGGGGTATACCAAGGCCGGGGTATACCTGCTAGTATAATATATACTATTCAGAAATTATTACGAGATTTGTTTAAAAAACACTTTTTCGAAATCGATTTTTGTCGATAGCTTGGCAACGAGACAAGTTATCGATTATCGTACTCCACGGACACCAGGCGGACCTACATTCTCTAGCTTTAATAGGTTCTGACGGAATGGAAGAACGACATAGCTAGATCGACTCGGCTATTGATACTGATCAATAATACATATATGTATACTTTCTGGGGCCGGAAATGCTTCCTTCTGCCTGTTACATACATTTGCGCAAATAGATTATACCTGTTTTACCCATTTTCAATGGGTTTAATTGTCTTAATCGAGTTCAGAAATCTGTTCTCGAGTACATTTTCTCGGACTTGTATGCTACCTTTGGGATTTCAAGAAGTACGTCTTTACATAGAGTTAAAGTTAAGTTAAAGGCATATGTAAACTTGTTTGCAATCAACAAGCAACTGCATACCAAATCTGATAGCTTGATATCCTACAGGGCCCGAGTTCGCTGGGACTTCTAGGGTAGAGAATAGTTGAAAAGCAGCTGTTGATATTATATACATATATATTTATTTTGCATATATTATGTTGATAAATAATATAACTCGTAGCTAAATATTTGCAAATACCTTTCGGGTTGCAACTCAGGTGGAATTTCACATTAATTGTTTCTTCTTTTTTCATATTTTTTTCAGAATTTCATGTCCGCTTTTGATGCTTTTGAATAAGCAGCTTACAAAGATATTTTCAATGTTTGTGCGACATTGAAAACATTTGTAAGAGATGGGTTTGGGGAGCTTGATGATGAGGTTGTCGATGATGACGATGATGATGACGATGATGATGATGATATTGTGCGTCCAATTGGAAGCTGCCAGCGTAGGGCAATAAAAGCAAATGAAAGCATTGCAAAATCAACCGAAAAAAAAAATCATAACAAAAGGCGCAACAAAGAAAATAACATTCGGTAGCAAACAATATTGAATTCAATTATGGATATATATATACATGTGTGCGTGTGCGTGTGTGTCTGAATTGTAATTTCAAATATTTTCCATCTCGAGCTTGTATGCATTTCGTTTGGTTCTTCATTTTAACAACGGGATTATATGTGCTTTGATATCGGTTTGGCATTAATAGACGTGATTAAAAGCCATCAAATAACAACAACAGGAACAACAACAAACGTCTTGTAACTGTCAAGAGTGCTCGGCTAGCAGATACCCTGTAAAGTTGGGCTTGGGTTCGAGTCT